AAATATAGGACCACATGAGAAGCACCAGCAGCATCAGATTTTTAGACTACTAAAGAAAATATGATTGATAATAAGCCCTGCGATTGAGGTGATCGCTACAGTGCTGTTTATAAAAGTTTTCATATTTAATTGTACAACGTGTTATACATCGTAATTTAATTGTTAATGTTTAAGTGTTTTTGTAATAAACCTTCCCCCTCTCTTAGACTATGACTAAAATATTAGATATAAGCGAAAATAGTGTACTATTTGGGTATAAAGCAAGATACGTATATAATGTGTACACGTATGAAATCAAAATACAGCTAGTGGTACAATAAATACAAAAAGTGTAAAAGTAGAATAGACCTCGCAAGACTAACGTGTATACCTTCTAAAAACAATAAATTATTCAATAGGATCACTTATAAAGTGTACGGCTCTAAATATTTAACTCGCTTAACATAATTTAAAATGGTAAATGCATCAATAGCGCCTGAATGAAAAAGAAGGCTCGTGATCGCCCTGATCAATTGCACCCTCATCTTTCACTCGTTGAGCCTACTCCATGCCCGCCGTTTGAATTTTTAATGAAGCCTCAGGTTGCGCCCGTAGTCTCTTTTACCTTAGTAAAATATCCATCAAACAAGCTCTTAATAACGCCGTCTTGCAGATATGAGGTTATTCGTGAATTTTCGCTTGATTAAAAAGCCGTGAGAGAGAAAATAAAATAGAAAAGTACTCAAATGTGAAACTGCAACGCGTTTAAGGTTTAGTATTTTTATAGGATAGGGTGACAAACGAGCACACAGTCCACCTGATGGTAAGTGGTTGCTGTGGCCCATAGACATCTGCATCTATCCTCGATTACGACTCAAAATGCGGATGCGTAGTCGCCTGTAAGGATTAAGATGGAATGCCTTCGTTTCCAATAAAAAGGTTCTCCGGTTCTCTACACTCACCATACGAAACACAGCAGCATTAAGCTACTATTTTACTACGCTAGTATTCTGTGAGAGCGTGGTCCTTCCACGGTCGAGTCAACCCATCCGTGCTACAACTACACTACTAATATAACTACACCATGGCTCCACCACGTATAAATATACACCTATATTTATTTCTTGTACTATTATGAAATTTCGAACGAAAACATTGTGCATACGGACTCCTATGCATAAGCGAATTCGACCACATAGTTGAGTCATTAATGAAACAACATTTTAGGGTTTTACCGCGTTAATTTCACTCAGTTTAGTGCTTGTGTAATTTTTTTATAGGATAAGGATGACAAACGAGCACACAGTCCACCTGATGGTAAGTGGATGCTGTGGCCCATAGACATCTGCATGCGATTAAGAATCAAAATGCAGATGCGTTGACACCCCTATGGACTAAGATGGAATGCCTCGACCCCAGTAAAACGGGTCTCCGGTTCTCTACACTCACTTTTTAAAAGAAAAAAAAAAACATTTCTGCCAATATTACATTCCTTCAATTTATTTTTTTTTTTAAATAATAAGTTCTATTTAATACGCGATATGTAAAAACATAATTTGTTAATAGAAAACGTGAGTTAATAATGATTAAAGAAAAAAATCACGTTGGACGCAAGCTCGCTAAGCGCCACAGTCCAGATCGCGGATAGTAGATTTTCACTTCAGTCCACTTTCAAACTTTAATGACCGCTTAATTAAACTTGAGTGGGTTGTACGTGACCACCCTTGACGCCTCCCCTACACTTTACAATACTGTCTTGGCGACACGAGCAAAATTACATTACATTGATATACTTTAAAAGACTTATTTGTTAGAAAACTTCGCTCTGAGTGCGCTTTAACACGTTAACTTGGTCAGACCAATTCTTTGATGTTTAAACTTAATTATCTTTAAAGGTGAAAATGTACGAATGCGTTTAATCATTATATTTCATTGACTTATATATTACTAGCGTAAGGACCGGGCCGAGTGAACAACTAAAACGGACCAGTACGCAGACCCTAAAATTACAGTTTAGGGGCAACGCGAATCGGTCGACAGTGGTGCGCGCAGGACAGATTTGCCTGTCACAAATATGTCTAGTTGCGTGGTAAAAGAATGCAAAAATTACGATACGAAGATAAAAAAGGAACATGAGATAACGGATTATCGATTAATAACCCTAATAATAATTTTGTATAATTAAAGTATTATATGAACGGATTTTAAAGTTTTCTTTACAGTTAGTTTAGTTACGATACCAATATTAGGCCAGGGTTGGATTCAGACCCTCAAAAATATTGTAAAAAATATTTTTTTTTATTAAAATTAAATAAAATTATACTATTTTTAAAAAATTACACGTCACGTTTGACGTTTCATGTTTCTTTTTTCCCATGTGCCGGGATTTTGGCGTCACGCATCTAGTTTATCTATACGTTTAGTTTTTTGTTAAAAACCGTAGTGTAAGTTAAATTTTGAATATTGGTACCTAATATATTTTATAATCAATAAGGGTAAAAAAGTACAAAAGAAGAAACCATATGTGCTTAATTGAATCTGAAAATCTGATTTATAAAATATTTTGAAATTGTGTTTTTAAACCGATTGCTTCTGGAGCATCGAGTTTTTATCGTGGTAGCCCCTCATTATAGTTGTATCAAGGATGCAACATAAATGCATCGATCGAGCACCGATTGACCAGAAAGCGAGCTAATTCTAAGTTTATTTAAAAAACGCGGTACTCGTGTACAATACAGATATTCTCGATATCGTAGGGTTAATATTATAAAGTAAAAGGACCCAATAATAATACAACTCGATCTTTAGTTAAAATTATGGTATATTGGCTTAGTATTATTACGATACTACACATACAAACTATGAAATAATGGTACAATTAGGATAATTATACTACGAAACCCGATCCTGGTTACGTCGTGTTTCGATATGACGTTTATATATGACAGATGCGAGTAGAATATTTAGATGGGCCCATCATTCCTTTTGAAATCATTGTTATATTTGCATTTTGGTTACTATAATCTAATCTATGACTACGTACGTAGTGTACAGTTCAATTTAAAAAAACATTGCAAATTGGTTTTATTTCTATATGTAACCAAAATACCTATATTTTATTTTAAAGTTTAAGTCAAAATCATAATTCCAACAACGTTAACTGAAATAAGCAAGCAATTTGGGAAACCAGACCCATTACAAGAAACGTAAGAAGAAAGTAAAGACAGTAATTTCACGCATTATATAATCCGTGCCACTTCGAATACACGAACATTTGTCATCAGCCTACCTGTTTTAAAATGAAAGAATTTTAAAATGCCTGTAAAAATATTTCACACACACTTTATCATACGAAAAAACATATAACCGTATTGAAGTTTGTTTTATTGTATGAAATGTGTTAACCGACTTTGATGATTTTTTTTCTAATTAAATATTAGTTATATTTCATGGGTGACTCCTATAAAATTTAGAGCAAAATTGGAGAAAATGAAATTTACCACTAAGATTGGCAAAATAGGGGATGAATTTTCTATTGTAACCATATATTTAGTATATACGTACTTGTATGTATATAAAATATGAATGTAACTATCAAAACGGTAGTCTAGTCATTCCTTAACCTTGTTCTTGCTCTTTAGTCCCTCAATAATAAAATACATTTTTTTTAATACAGAGTAAATTATAAATTAAAAAAACCAGCTGTTTAGCACTATTTAATTATTTTTATTTCATTTAATTCGGCTTTTTTAAAGTTTATTTTCTAGCAGTCCGTTTGTGTTGGTATCGTATTTCTACACACAAGCAGCAATACACTGTTGTATTCCGTAAGTGATAAAGTCCTTTACGTGTTTTTAAGAAGTACGTCCTTTTAAGATATACCTTAGTCTTAAGGAGTGACAGGCTTACATTGTTAGGACTTGTTTGCTGATGTCCATAGGCTGCAGTGACCACACACCATCATGTGCAATAAGCTCGTCCCTATAGCATTAATAAAAACGTCGTACTAAATAAACAACTATCCAGTGACACTGCGTTTACGAAACAGGCTACATAATGAATTTTTCAGATATCCCTTTCAGACCCGTGCCGTGACGGCGCTACCTAACGAATATTACAGAACTGATTTAGGGCAAGTAACATGCGTACATTACAAATATGGGGTCTTAAAAAAATCTAGGAAAATGGGAAAACTGTTTTCCACGATACTCACGATCGTACTACGTCGGGCCCAACTAGAGCTACCCTCACGATCGTGAGGGTAATTACAATATTCAAATAAAAGTAAAAATTAGGAATAATTATTTATTTTATAATCAAAATTAACTTAATTTCTTATTGTTAATAAGTAACAAAAATATAACGCTTCATTAACCTATATTTTTGCTTATTTTGATATATTCAAAAATTAAGAAGTAGGAACAAGGCACACAATCGAGATCATCAGTTTATAATTATTAGAAGGAATAGACTTGAGAAAAATATTAAAAAAAATTATCTTTAGTACTATAAAGAATAACATTGCATTTTGTGTATCTTACTTTTGGACGGCTTGTACAACCTGTCACTCGGCAACAGCGAGAAGCTTTTAGGGAATCACATACGGACCAATGATTATACCCATCGAGATGTTTATCTATAGTTGGAATAGATGCAAGTTGATAGTGGGATGTTGAAGGCATCTCTGCCATTTCTTCGAATTCTTTTCGGGTGGGTTTTCTAGTTGAACCGCCAAGTAGAAAATCAGATACGTATATTTTAAAGTCCAGAAAATCCATGATATCAGAGTTCTTGACTTTATTTATGTCTCATGATTGGCGATACTCGTACCACTAGTTCACCATGGCCAAGTCAAACAAATGCATTATTAACTTGATTGGTCATTTGCGAGTTTTATGCCGTGATCTGTAGACCTCCATCATTTGGTTGCTGACGTTTAGACCTCCCATGTGTTTGTTGTATTTTTTTATCATATCAGGGCAAGTTACTTTGATGTATGATTTTATAATTTTATTGTAACGCTAGACCTTATGCAATGGCTGGGCTCCAATAGCAGTTGAACCAGTTAATACTAATAATTCGTAAATTTCTTCAGTAAAGTACCTATCAAAGTATTCACTTGGAGTAAGTACCTCTTCCGTCGGCTCCGATATCAGTGTAGGCATGGGTTTACCGACGAATCGTCTGCGAGTCCATTTATTCGACAATGATGGACTTGCTACTGTTGAAACTCTTGCTTCTTGCTCGTCTTCGTCTTCCGAGTTAGAACTAAGTAGCTCACCAGGTGGCTGCCAATCATTATAGTCATCAAAGTCCTCGCCCAAATCCGAGTCAGCGAGTTGGTGCATTATAGCATCAGAGTCAAAAACCAAGTTATTTCTATTCATAACGATTAATCAAATAGGCTGAAAAGTTAAAAAAGAGGGTTTATAACATAAAATAATTGGTATAAATAATCACTAATCTGACCAACGTTGGGCCCGAACCCTCACGATTGTGACATCTAAAAGTAACCTCGAAAAAGACAAACTAAAAACGCGAAAGGACGAATAAAAACATTATTTATCGAGAATTTAGCTTTTTTCAAACGAATGATTGCAATAAAAATTTAGTTTTTACTTACTTTTACGTGACAAACAGGTATGTTTAATTTTGGCGCGTAACACATCCTTGTTGCTTGGCGACGAATGGCGACTGAGTCAAAATTATTTTAATTTAATTCCACTGCTCTTTGTCATAGTAAACTGAACTATACGCACGATCGTGCGACGCTGTCCCCGTCAGCTCATGACGATTGTTTAATTTTATAAAAATTGATAAAGTCACCGTCACAATTGTGAGTACTGGGACCGAAAGGGATATAATAATGTGCTCCAGATCGAATCTCGGTCACGGCAGCCTGCCTTAAGGGGAAATATAATGTCAAATGGCTTAGCAAGATCCTTTGTTATGCCGAAAATTTTGCAGCATTAATTTTGAAATAAATATATGGTAAAGTTGAGGATTAATGTTAGTGATTATGTTAGACGAAAATACGATTTCGTAAAATTTTCTCGATAGAAAAAAAATCCAAAGTTACCTCCAAAATAAACAATAAACCGCTGTTATTCATAAAATACTTTAAATAAGATCATGAAACTTTGCATACTAACTGAACTAACTATAAAGCAGTGCTTATGTTATTTACTTTTTTTTAAATACCATTATTTTCACTGTAAAAAAGAAATTACCTAAACTATCGGCGTCTTGAGCTTGATTCCTGTCGTTCCGTTAGTATCGCTTAGGCTTTTGAAGGGAGAAGTTGTGTCGCTTACGATCAGAATATACATTACGCAACAGTACGACGTAAAATTAAAATGGGAAATAACCGTGATAAAAATAAGAAGCGGCTGGCCTGGCTTTAAGAAACAAGCATAAATATGATAAACCTAATGAAATAAGTGTCTAACGACCTTTCTACTTACAGTATTAGTGATTACAAATATTTCGGTACATAGCATACGACGCGCGGGGAAGTGGGAGCGAAATTAGAATTTGAGCTGACTTACTCTAACCTCTTAACGAAGACCAGCACAGGTGCACTCTCTATTCCCTTACTCTTATGGTCCGATGGGAGTATAAACGGACACAACCGGAGAGAGATCAGGCGCAGGACCAAGGCTTTACGTGCCTTCCGAGACACGGGGGTGAGACACCGCCAACTTTCTGATTCCGCCACTTAAAATTTCTTAATATAAAAACTCAATAAATGATATTTTGGCCCGACCCGGGATTCGAACCCAGGATATGATCAGCAGTCACACTACTACAACCACTCGACCAACGAGGCAGTCATAGATATAACGGTGACAAAAGAGCACATTGTTTAGCCCTAATGTTTAGCTGATGTTGTGGTCAATAGACAGAGCCTACATCTATCCGCAAATAAAAATCATAAAGGAGATACATTATAAATCCCGAGGACTAAACAGGAATTCCTTGTTAACAATAAAAAGCATCTCCGTTTCTCTTCCTTCAGAAAGCGAAATAGCAGGTTTCATTGCTATTTCACGCCGGTATTCTGTGAGAGCAAGGTTCTATTCTCTGGTCGAACTGATCCATTCTTGCTGCAGATACATTAGATGGCTCCATAGAATACTAACGTATCATAGTATTCTGTGGGTGGCTCTATCACGCTACAACTAAGCGGTTCTCCCACACCTCAGCAAACTTAAGTTTGTCCAAAGCGTTTTCACGTCATATTTATTTATTAGGCAACCATATGTTATTGGGACGACATTTGGCGTCTCCCCTTCAGAAATATTATATCCATACATCGATGGCAGGCGACCGAGACAGCGGCCTATGATACATATTTATCTAACGATATTTATGGCTGTCCTAAAAAAGCCCCGCGATTTTCCATGTCCTCTTTCATATTTAAAGTTCGGATGTTTTATGGGCAGATATATCGTCGAACGGAAAGGGGAATAGATAATAGCCATGACACATATAAGTAAAAAAAATACGCAACATGTTTGTGTATGTTTACATTTTTCGTATTCTTTGGGCCTTTTGCGTCAAAAAAAATTAAAGAAATAGAAAGGATTTGCCGTTGTCGCGACCAAAGAGTATATAATCACTACGTATTTGACAAGTGAATTAAAAATCGCACAACCAGGTATCTGACACTCACAAACCACGAGATGGTATATCGCCATCTATTGGCAGCCATGAGGTATTTCAAACCTTTCCTTTAAGCGGGCTACATACGACACGATATCGGTGGCGATCTAGGGTGGAGTAGTGGGGATGCCTCCTAGATTGCCTCTAAATCGTGTCGTATGTAGGGCCATCCTAAGTCGTGGCCGATATCGCCTCCTTAATCGGCTGGCAGGAGCAAAAATGCTTCCTAGATCAGCCGATGCTTCCTAGATCGGGGCACCGCCCCCTCCTTACTGCGTGTGTGTAGGCGCATCGGCCCGATTTCTTTTGGCAGTCGCTGCTGGCAACCCTCGCGGAAAGAAGTTAACAAAACAGTGATACTGAATGACCTTTTTATATAACAAAATTTTTACATTTTAATCATATAAACGGAGTAGAAGCCTATGGCACTGATATTTTACAAAAAACAAAAAAAAAGTGAATAAAATAAATTAATTAATTGAAATTTTATCGAAATTCAAATCATATCCACCCTAGCCTGTGACCCGGCGAAGTGACATGGTCAAGAATGCCTACTAAACTAATTTTTTTATTGCCGTTCGTAAAGTGTATGATGTAAGTAAGGAGAAGATAAAGCCTCTCCTCAACAACTAACTACTATTCCAACGCTATCAACACAAGACCGCACTCATATCTCTTACAACTCCACAAGACCACACTTCGATCTCTTACGTGCCTTCATCCTCTTATCAACAACTAACTTCTACTCCTTCACCATCTTCACATCAACAAACAAGTTATATAAAAAGGAGTATGTCCGAAATTAAAGGTTTCTTTATGTTTAAAAAAAAGATATAAGCTATTTTATTTTCTGATAGTTTTACTCCATAAATAAAGATTACATTAAAAAAAAGTATACATATTATTATACAAAAGTATTTTATTTCCTTGTTTGTTGTGTGTAATACATAACCAGATTTTGACCAAAGCAGAAATGAACAAAGAGAAGAAATAACTAAATAGCATAGGTAGGAGAAATTGACGTTTTTATATAAGTGGCGAAATCATTTCTAGAAGGTTATAAAAACTGTCTTCATCCATCCGGAGAAAATTAATCACGTCCTTGGATTACAGGCCATTTAGTACGTTTATGTGGCTTAATTTTTATCTCTTTTGGAGCCATTTTTTCACCCAGCAACTTCTCTTTTTCTATTTTCGAATAAATTAACCGAGATGGCTAATGCCAAACCAAAACGGTGGTGTTTTAAGAGAGTCGGAGGTATTTTGAAGAACTCTACCGCATATGCGTTCCGCTCCAAGTCCGAACGCGTACTGCTAGGCAGGCCCGTGTGTAAGGTCTACCCCGATAAAAGCCCCGATTTCTTTCCACACTAGATCGCCACCGATATCGTGTCGTATGTAGCCCGCTTTAGAATTTTCAACTTTTAATCCGTGCGGTGTTAGCCCGTGTAGTTAGGGTTGCCACCTTTTTTTGAGTAAATAAAGTATTATATACTTTTATAAGCGAAAAAATAAGATACGACAAGTGAAAATAAAGTATTATTTATTCGACATTCTATTTTTTCTACACATTATCTTTATCTACATTCTATGTCTAAGTTAAGATACCTCGATAATTACGTTCTTTTCATCCTATCCCTTAGCATTAATTAAAGAATAAACTTTGTAAATAACGCTGAATTTACTATGTAATGGTGGCGGTGTAAGTCATATCTTCCTGTAGGTGTCGTAAGAGACGAAAGAAAAAATCAAATGGGCACCAGCTTCTTCCTAACATCTACTAAAATAAAAAAATACTACGGTTGCCAACCCACTTGCCAAGCGTGGCAATTATGTCCAATGCACGGCAGTGGACTTTAATAGACTCTAACGGTAAAAAACGCTGAACTGATGGGATGGATAGCAGGCATGAAATTAGTTTGACATAAAGTGTAAATAGAAAAATATTTTGCCACTATTGTCAAGTGGCTAAAACTGAAAAATTGTCTAAACTCTTTCCTTATGCAAAAAATGCAACTTATTCTTATATAACTCGTTGTGTATCATTGACATCTTTATGTATATAATTCATTATTTTAGTAAACGTTAAAATAAATCATTGAAATATATAATAAAAATCGTAAATATTGGAAAAATAAAGTATTTTCATGTACTTTATTGGTCTCATAAAGTATAAAGTACGTTTGCCCAAAATAGCGCACAATATATTATATCTACTTTATTTTACGGGTGGCAACCCTACGTGTAGTGGCGGTGTAAGATTATCCACTATCAGATATACCAGTGGCGAAAGAGGTAACGGAGCGAAACAAACCAGGAAATGGGCAGCCGCTTCTTCCTGTTAACAAGTAAAAATAAAAAAACTTTAGTTGTCAAGCCGCAGCCAGGCGTGACAACTATAGCAAATGTAGCTTTTGTTCGGCGGAGGAATTTTGTATGGACTGTAAAGGACCTGTGCGGGATTCGAATTTCGAATTCCCGACTCCACAGCGCTGCAGCAAATGCGTTCCCGACTTGTTATAGAATGTAGGTTGTAATAGTCAATGTTTTATTACCACCGATTTAATCTCTCATTCTCGTCACTCTAAATGAGTGTAATAATGCTGCTGATGTTATTTTACGCTGGTAATTTTTAAATATTGGGTGCGTTTGGCAGAAAAAAGCGCTAGCAAGCGCTTGTAAGCAAAATGGCGATCGTAAGCGGTAAACGCTGTCAAATCGT